TCTTGTCCTTCTTTGGTGCACGACATTCAGTAGCCTTGTGTCCAACCTTTCCACAGTTGTGGCAATTACCTTTGAATTTCTTCTTGCTTGGGTAATTCTTTGGTCCAGACTGCTTCTTTCTCTTTTTACTCGTTGAAGCTTCCTCAACAATATTTGCACCCATTATTGTTGAATTTCCACGAGACTTCTTCTCAGCATCCTTGTTGTCCTCTTCAATCCGTAGACGAACAATAAGGTCTTCAAGTGTCATCTCCTTGCGCTTATGTTTCAAGTAATTCTTAAAGTCCTTCCACAGCGGAGGCAGCTTTTCAATAAATGCCGCAACTTGAAACGCTTCATTTATGACCATACCTACAATCATAAATTTAGGATTAATAATATAATCAATATCTTTAATAAAAATATTGATTCGATTTATACCTTCGGCAAGGAGGTCATGAACGATGACTTGTAATTCTTGAACTTGAGTTATGACAGACTAACTGTCCACCATTTTAAAGTCCAAGAATTTTGCGGCAACAAATTTCTTTAGTCCAGCATCTTCCGTTTTATGCTTCTTTTCAAGAGCATTCCACAACTCTTTCGAAGTCTCTATGACACTGTAAACGTTGTACAAGCCATCTTCCAAATAACCCAATATATAATTTTTGCACAAGAAGTCAGAATGCTTCCATGCCTCCGTGACCACAAATCGTTCATTATCCGGAGTCTCTTCTCCCAAGACTGTAAAGTCCCCGCTAATAAAGCGTTGTAAACTAAGAGTGGTCAGATAGAAGAACATTTTCTGCTACCAGCGTTTGAAGTCCGTGCCGGAAAATTTTCTGGGCTTTTCTGCCGGTGCAGGAGTTGTGCGACTTGAAGACGCATTTGTCGTTGCAGCAGTAGTCCCAACAGAACCATTATGTTGTTCCACACTCGTTGTCATTTTTCTATAAAAGAAATTGACAAACAGAATTAGTATTTCGGTGAAGTTTTTATATCTTCAAACCGAATAGAAACAACCGAGTTTTTATATCTCCAATAGAGTAGAAAGTCACAAATACTTTATTCTCAAACTGGAGTAGAAAATTCGAAGATTTTAATCTCCAAAACGGGAGTAGAAAATCAATAAGATTTTAATCTCCCAAAGCAGAAAGTAGGATTAAATACAGAAATAAAAAAATTAAATTCGTTAAGCTTGTTAGAACTCCGTATTCAAAAATCAGTAAATGGATAAACGTTAGTTTAAAAACGAAAGCAGAAAATTTCGAGCCCACAAATTTCATGTGTTTCCTTAAGGAATTTAATCCCCTCACAATGCCCAAGGTTGCGGATTAATTCTTGCCAAGATAGAACAGAATAACTATGCTGTGATAGCGGCACTTCAAATTACAGAATTTCGGCAAACTCAAATGGCGGAGCAAATCACACAAAATGCTTACGTTTTTGGTTTTGAAAAATAATGCAGAATGCAAATGTTTGAGGGGAGTGATTTCAGATTTTTCGGTGGTGGAAATTGAGGCTAAGCCTCTCAATTTATAGCCAGTAAGGTTGAGTCTCAACAGGTGCAAAGGTGCCTGTTCAATGATAAGGTGTCTATTCAGCTATTGAATGGAACGTTTCAGCTGTTGGTTGCGAAATAATTTTGCGATCTTTCAATGCTGCGAAAAAGATTCCGTGATCTTCTAACGCGAAAAATATTTGGAAAAGAAAATGTTAAATAATGGAAAAGGAAATAAATTCGGTCCAAAAAATTATCAATCAATCATATCAATTGACCAAATCCGAATCCGAAGCCAAAGCCAAAGCCGAGCCGAGCGAGCGACGACGACGATGGCGCGAGGCACCACTTCATCTTAACACTTCAAGATCTAGAAGATGAGCTTCTATATATATACACAAAGATTTTCTTTCCTTCTTCCAATGAGGGACAAAGTGCATTAGTAAAGTGAACTAATTCAAAATTTCGCTTCCCTCCATTTCCCACCATTTTTCATTCACACCTCTTTTGTTATTAATAACAAAACCCAACAATCCCCCACATGAATGGGGAATGGTTATCCGAAACAAATATGCATAAAAAGTTGTGTTGGATTCGCAAGTAAGGATTAATCGCATTTGGATAAGTAGGTTTCCCTTTGAACTTTTCGTAGTGAACATATGTCGGATATACTCGATCAATCGGTAGATTTGATATCTTTGAACCGTCGAACTTTTACATATACCTAGACATCCATATGTCACACAATCAACCCTTAACCGTCTTTGGTTCTCATTAGTGTGTTCGTTTCAGCCATAAACACCGCCTGGTTTCATAAGTGCGTAGAGAACTGGCCTTACAACATTCTCCTTGAAGCGGCTTACACTTCACACTTATATAGGAGATTCCTAATCGTGTTATCTCGTAGATATACTATTTGATATATCCCGTATCAAACTTAGAAACCATTAAAAACTCCTAACGTTTTATCCTTGGTACTGAACATTGTCTACATCATGAGAATTGACCAAAATTTTATTTTACAATGTTGAACCATCACTAATGACTTTGTTTGATCTCCTTGAACCTAGATCTTGGGATCTCCAGTCTTCTAGGTAGAGATACCGCCATAGTGACTTGTCCTCGGCCATAGTCTCATTCCCTTTGATGACTTCTCAACGGCCTCTCTAGTTAGGCCTTTTTTAAGCGGATCCGATACATTATCTTTTGACTTTACATAGTCAATTGTGATAATTCCACTAGAGAGTAGTTGTCTAACGGTATTATGCCTTCGTCGAATGTGATGCGATTTCCCATTTCACATAATGCTCCCAGCCCTTCCTATTGCTGCTTGATTGTCGCAATGTATGCATACAGGTGCCATTCAGCTTCTTTACCGGCCTTGTCTAAAGCTATAAACTCAGACTCCATTGTAGAGCGAGCGATGCATGTCTGTTTGGACGACTTCCAAGACACTGCTCCTCCACCAATGGTAAAAATATATCCACTTGTGGATTTTGTTTCCGTTGATCCGGTGATCCAATTTGCATCACCATATCCCTCAATAACTGCGGGATAATTATTGTAATGCTATGCATAATCTTGAGTAATTTTCAAATATCCCAAAACTCGTTTCATTGCTATCCAATGAGCTTGGTTGGGATTACTTGTGTATCGACTAAGCTTACTTATTGCACAAGCTATATCAGGTCGTGTACAATTCATAATGTTCATCAAACTTCCTAGACCTTGAGGAGTCTGTAGGATCTTAATTCCAAAAATTAAATCGGCAACTCCTAAGTCTTTCATATCAAACTTACTAGTAAGCATGCGCTTAGTAGCATTTATGTTAGCAATATCGTTACTCATTATCAGCATATCATCCACATATAAACAAACAATGACTATTTGATTTGGAGTATTCTTAATGCAAACACATTTGTCACACTCATTGGTCTTGAAACCATTTGACAACATTGTTTGGTCTAATTTCGCATGCCATTGTTTTGGTTCTTGTTTTAGTCCGTAAAGTGACTTAACAAGTCGACACACCTTCTTTTCTTTTCCAGGAACTACAAACCCTTCAGGTTGTTCCATATAGATTTCTTCCTCTAAATCTCCATTTAAGAAGGCCGCCTTTACATCCATCTGATGGATTTGAAGGCCATACATGGCGGCTAACGCTATTAACACCCGGATAGATGTAATCCTTGTTTCCGGCGAGTATGTGTCAAAGTAATCAAGACCTTCTCGTTGTCTAAACCCTTTAACAACTAATCTTGCCTTATATTTGTCAATAGTACCATCAGCTTTCATTTTCCTTTTGAAAATCCGTTTAGAACCCAAAGGTTTATTTCCCGGAGGAAGATCAACCAATTCCCAAGTATGATTACTTAATATGGATTCTATCTCACTATTGACTGCATCTTTCCAATATTGTACTTCCGAGGAAGACATTGCTTCTTTGAATATTTGAGGCTCATTTTCCAATAAGAATGCCAGAAAATCTTGTCCAAAGGAAGTGGCTGTCCTTTGACATTTACTACGTCTTGGATTTTCCTCGCCAAACGTACTTTCCTTTTCTTCTTCTCGAGGTCGCTTAGATTTTCAATTAGACGACTCAGGATAAATATTCTCAACGATTTCAGCATTATCTGATTCAATTAGCGTATTAATATGAGTGTCGGGATTATCTGATTTATGAACCAGAAAACGATATGCCTTACTATTTGTTGCATATCCTACGAAAATGCAATCAACGGTTTTGGTCCAATTTTTATCCTTTTAGGTTTAGGAACTTGCACTTTAGCCAAACACCCCCGCACTTTAAAATATTTTAAGTTGGGTTTCCTTGCTTTCCATTTTTCATATGGAATGGATTGCGTTTTGCTATGGGGAACTCGATTTAGTATTCGGTTAGCTGTAAGAATAGCTCCCCCCACAAGTTTTGAGGTAAATCAGAACTTATTAATAAGGCATTCATCATCTCCTTTAACGTTCTTTCTTTCCGCAATTCTATTAGATTGCGGTGAGTAAGGGGCAGTCGTTTGGTAAATAATTCCATTTTCTAAACATATCTCTTCAAAAGGAGATTCATATTCACTGCCCCTATCACTTCTTATCATTTTGATTTTCTTGTTTAGTTGTGCTTCAACTTCATTTTTGTATTGCTTGAATGCGTCTTTTGCTTCATCTTTACTTTTCAGTAAGTAAATATAGCAATACCTAGTACTGTCGTCAATGAAAGTTATGAAATACTTTTTCCCGCCACGAGATTGTATTGACTTCATGTCGCAAATATCTGTGTGAATAAAGTCTAAAGGATTTGAATTCCTTTCAACTGACTTATAAGGATTCTTAACATACTTTGATTCCACACATATTTGACATTTCGAGTTATTGCATTTAAACTTAGGCAATACTTCCAAATTAATCATTTTTCGCAAAGTTTTGAAGTTGACGTGGCCTAAACGTTCATGCCATAAATTATTTGACTCAAGCAAGTAAGAAGAAGCAAAAATTTTATTCATATCAATGGCAATTACATTAAGTTTGAAAGGCCCTCAGTCAGGTAACCTTTTCCTGCATACATTTTATTCTTACTAACTACAACCTTGTCGGAAACAAAAACACACTTAAAGCCATTCTTGACTAGAAGTGATGTCAAGACTAAATTCTTCCGCATTTCATTAACAAGAAGAACATCTTTTAGAGGCACAATCTTTCCAGAAGTCATCTTCAATGCTATCTTGCCCATTCCTTCAATTTTTGCAGTAGCAAAATTTGCCAAAAAAACTGTCTCGTTGGGTTCAGCGGGAGCATAAGAAGTAAACAACTCCTTGTTGGCACAAACATGTCGAGTTTCTCCCGAATCAATCCACCATTCTCTAGGATTTCCGACTAGGTTACGTACTGAAAGCATGGCACATAAATAGTCTATTTCACCATTCTTCTCAATCATGTTTGCTTGACTTTTCTTCTTGTCCTTCTTTGGTGCACGACGTTCAGTAGCCTTGTGTCTAACCGTTCCACAGTTGTGGCAAATACCCTTGAATTTCTTCTTGCTTGGGTAATTCTTTGGTCGAGACAGCTTCTTTCTCTTTTTACTTGTTGAAGCTTCCTCAACAATAGTTGCACCCATTATTGTTGAATTTCCACGAGACTTCTTCTCAGCAGCCTTGTTGTCCTCTTTAATCCGTAGACGAACAATAAGGTCTTCAAGTGTCATCTCCTTGCGCTTATGTTTCAAGTAATTTTTAAAGTCCTTCCACTGCGGAGGCAGCTTTTCAATAAATGCCGCAACTTGAAATGCTTCATTTATGACCATACCTACAATCATAAATTTAGGATTAATAATAAAATCAATATCTTTAATAAAAATATTGATTCGATTAATATCTTCGGCAAGGAGGTCATGAACGATGACTGGTAATTCTTGAAATTGAGTTACGACAGACTTACTGTCCACCATTTTAAAGTCCAGGAATTTTGCGGCAACAAATTTCTTTAGTCCAGCATCTTCCATTTTATACTTCTTTTCAAGAGCGTTGCACAACTCTTTCGAAGTCTCCATGACACTGTATACATTGTACAAGCCATCTTCCAAATAACTCAATATGTAATTTTTTGCACAAGGAGTCAGAATGCTTCCATACCTCCCTGATGACAAATCGTTCATTATCCGAAGTCTCCTCTCCCAAGACTGGAATGTCCTCGCAAATAAAGCGTTGTAAACTAAGAGTGGATAGAAGAACATTTTCTGCTGCCAGCGTTTTAAGTCCATGCCGGAAAATTTTTCGGCTTTTCTGCCGGTGTAGGAGTTGTGCGACTTGAAGACGCATTTGTCGTTGCAGCAGTAGTCCCAACAGAACCATTATGTTGTTCCACACTCGTTATCATTTTTCTCTAAAAGAAATTGACAAACAGAATTAGTATCTCGGTGAAGTTTTTATATCTTCAAACCGAATAAAAACAACCGAGTTTTAATATCTCGGATTGATAGAAAGTCACAAATACTTTAATCTCAAGTTGGAGTAGAAAATCCGAAGATTTTAATCTCCAAAACGGGAGTAGAAAATAATAAGATTTTAATCTCCCAAAGCAGAAAGTAAGATTGAATAAAGAAATAAAACAATTAAATTCCTTAAGCTTGTTAGAACTCTGCATTCAAAAATCAGTAAATGAACAAACGTTAGTTTAAAAACGAAAGCAGAAAATTCTGAGCCCAAAAGTTTCTTGTCTTTCCTTATGGATTTTAATCCCCTCACAATGCCCAAGGTTGCTGATTAATTCCTCCCAAGATAGAACGGAATAACTAATCTGTGATAGCGGCACTTCAAATTAGAGAATTTCGGCGAACTCAAATGGCGGAGCAAATCACACAAAATGCTTACGTTTTTGGGTTTTAGAAATTAATGCAGAATGCAGAAGTTTGAGGGGAGTGATTTCAGATTTTTCGGTAGTGGAAATTGAGGCTAAGCCTCTCTATTTATAGCCAGTAAGGTTGAGTCTCAACAGGTGCAAAGGTGCCTGTTCAATGATAAGGTGTCTCTTCAGCTATTGAATGGAACGTTTCAGCTGTTGGTTGCGAAATAATTCTGCGATCTTTCAATGCGCGAAAATGATTCCGCGATCTTCCAACGCGAAAAATATTTAGAAAAGAAAAGGTTAAATAATGGAAAAGGAAATAAATTTAGTCCAAAAATTTATCAATCAACTATATCAATTGACCAAATTAGAACACGAATCCGAATCCGAAGCCGAAGCCGAAGCCGAGCGAGCGAGCGAGCGAGCGACGACGGCGCGAGGTACCACTTCTTCTTAACTCTTTAAGAGCTAGAAGATGAGCATCTATATATATATACACAAAGATTTTCTTTCCTTATTCCAATGAGGGATAAAGTGCATTAGTAAAGTGAACTAATTTAAAATTTCACTTCCCTCCATTTTTCACCATTTTCCATTCACACCTCTTTTGTTATTAATAACAAAACCCAACAATCCCCCACATGAATGGGGAATGGATATCCGAAACAAATATGCATAAAAAGTTGTGTGTGATTCGCAAGTAAGAATTAATCACATCTGGATAAGTAGGTTTCCCTTTGAACTTTTCGTAGTGAACATATGTCGGATATACTCGATCAATTGGTAGATTTGATATCTTTGAACCGTCGAACTTTGGCATATACCTAGACAGCCAAATGTCACACAATCAACCCTTTACCGTCTTTGGTTCTCATTGTTGTGTTCGTTTCAGCCATGAACACCGCCTGGTTTCATAAGTGCGTATCGAACTGGCCTTACAACATTCTCCTTGAAGCGGCTTACACTTCACACTTATATAGGTGATTCCTAAACGTGTTATCCCGTAGATACACTATTTGATATACCTCGTATCAAACTTAGAAACCATTAAAAAGTCCTAACGCTTTATCCTTGGTACTGAATATTGTCTACATCATGAGAATGGGCCAAAATTCTATTTGACAATGTTGAACTGTCACTAATGACTTTGTTTGATCTCCTTGAACCTAGATCTTGGGATCTCCAGTCTTCTAGGTAGAGTTACCGCCATAGTGACTTGTCCTCAGCCATAGTCCCATTCCCTTTGATGACTTCTCAATCGCCTCTCTAGGTAGGCCATTTGTAAGCGGATCTGATACATTATATTTTGACTTTACATACTCAATTGTGATAATTCCACTAGAGAGTAGTTGTCTAACAGTATTATGCCTTCGTCGAATGTGATGTGATTTCCCATTATACATAACGCTGCCAGCCCTTCCTATTGTTGCTTGACTTATGCAATGTATGCATACAGGTGCCAAAGGCTTGGACCAAAATGGAATGTCTTCTAAGAAATTCCGGAGCCATTCAGCTTCTTTACCGGCCTTGTCTAAGGCTATAAACTCAGACTCCATTGTAGAGCGAGTGATGCATGTCTATTTGGACGACTTCCAAGACACTGCTCCTCCACCAATGGTAAAAACGTATCCACTTGTGGATTTTGTTTTCGTTGATCCGGTGATCCAATTTGTATCTATATATCCCTCAATAACTGCGGGATAATTATTGTAATGCAATGCATAATCTTGAGTATATTTCAAATATCCCAAAACTCGTTTCATTGCTATCCAATAAGCTTGGTTAGGAATACTTGTGTGTCGACTAAGCTTTCATATTGCACAAGTTATATCAGGTCGTGTACAATTCATAATGTACATCAAACATCCCAACACTCGAGCATATTCCAATTGAGATTTGCTTTGACCTTTATTCTTTACAAGAGTATGATTTAAATCAATTGGCGCTTTTGCTTCTTTAAAGTCCAAATATTTGAAATTTTTAAGAACCATTTCAATATAATGAGATTGAGACAAAGCTAGACCTTGAGGAGTCTGTAGGATCTTAATTCCCAAAATTAAATCGGCAACTCCTAAGTCTTTAATGTCAAACTTACTAGTAAGCATGCGCTTAGTAGCATTTATGTCAGCAATGTCGTTACTCATTATCTGCATATCATCCACATATAAACAAACAATGACTATTTGATTTGGAGTATTCTTAATGTAAACACATTTGTCACACTCATTGATCTTGAAACCATTTGACAACATTGTTTGGTCAAATTTCGCATGCCATTGTTTTGGTGCTTGTTTTAGTCCGTAAAGTGACTTAACAAGTCGACACACCTTCTTTTCTTTTCCAGGAACTACAAACCCTTCAGGTTGTTCCATATAGATTTCTTCCTCTAAATCTCCATTTAAGAAGGTTGTCTTTACATCCATCTGATGGCTTTGAAAGCCATACACGGCGGCTAACGCTATTAACACCCGGATAGATGTAATCCTTGTTACCGGCGAGTATGTGTCAAAGTAATCAATACCTTATCGTTGTCTAAACCCTTTACCAACTAATCTTGCCTTATATTTGTCAATAGTAGCATCAGCTTTCATTTTCCTTTTGAAAATCTATTTTGAACCCAAAGGTTTATTTTTCGGAGGAAGATCAACCATTTTCCAAGTATGATTACTTAATATGGATTCTATCTCACTATTGACTGCCTTTTTCCAATATTGTGCTTCCGAGGAAGACATTGCTTTTTTGAACGTTTGAGGTTCATTTTCCAATAAGAATGCCAGAAAATCTGGTCCAAAGGAAGTGGTTGTCCTTTGACGTTTACTACGTCTTGGATTTTCCTCGTCAAATGTACTTTCATTTGCTTCTTCCCGAGGTCGCTTAGATTTTCCATTAGACGATTCACATTCCATTTTATACGGATAAATATTCTCAAAGAATTCAACATTATCTGATTCAATTACCGTATTAATATGAATGTCGGAATTTTCTGATTTATGAACCAGAAAACGATATGCCTTACTATTTGTTGCATATCCTACGAAAATGCAATCAACGGTTTTTGATCCAATTTTTACCCTTTTGGGTTTAGGAAATTGCACTTTAGCCAAACACCCCCCCCCCCCCACTTTAAAATATTTTAAGTTGGGTTTCCTTGCTTTCCATTTTTCATATGGAATGGATTGCGTTTTGCTATGGGGAACTCGATTCAGTATTCGGTTAGCTGTAAGAATAGCTTCCCCTCACAAGTTCTGAGGTAAACCAGAACTTATTAATAAGGCATTCATCATCTCCCTTAACGTACTATTCTTTCTTTCCGCAATTCCGTTAGACTGCGGTGAGTAACGGGTAGTTGTTTGGTGAATAATTCCATTTTCCAAACATATTTCTTCAAAAGGAGATTCATATTCAGCGCCCCTATCACTTCTTATCATTTTTATCTTTTTGTTTAGTTGCGTTTCAACTTCATTTTTGTATTGCTTGAATGCGTCTATTGCTTCATCTTTACTATTTAGTAAGTAAATATAGCAATATCTAGTACTGTCGTCAATGAAAGTTATGAAATACTTTTTCCCACCGCGAGATGGTATTGACTTCATGTCACAAATATCTGTGTGAATTAAGTCTAAAGGATTTGAATTCCTTTCAACTGACTTATAAGGATGCTTAACATACTTTGATTCCACACATATTTGATATTTCAAGTTATTGCATTCAAACTTAGGCAATACTTCCAAATTAATCATTTTTCGCAAAGTTTTGAAGTTGACGTGGCCTAAACGTTCATGCCATAAATTATTTGACTCAAGTAAGTAAGAAGAAGCAGAAATTTTATTCATATCATGACAATTACATTGAGTTTGAAGAGGCCCTCAGTCAGGTAACCTTTTCCTACATTTTTTTCCCACCATTTTCCATTCACACCTCTTTTGTTATTAATAACAAAACCCAACAGTCACGACGCCCAAACGAATAAACATGGCGCTAGAATTTTGAGTTTTTATATTTTAATTTTAGAAAATTTGTACATACTAATTTTTTTTTAATACAAATATACGGTCTAAATGAAAGCTACATATAATTGTGGCTCCGCCCAGCATCAAATACAACTGAAAAAGACTTGGACAGTAACTTGCTAACCTTGCTTTTTCAAGTTCAGCACCTTATACTCAACCTCAAATCTATTAAAGAAGCAGCTAAGCTTTTCTTTAATTTCAGACCGTGAAGACTCCACAACACGCGGTAATAAAATAATTAAAGACATAACAATGGGAAGTATCAATAGAAAAGATTATATATGTTAGAAACTGAACATATGTTATGATTCTAATTCCTAGGGATGACGAATGTTAGTCACTTGCAGGTGAGAGCGGTTGTGGAGGGGTAAGTACTTTTTTGTCCTTAATCAGTGATTTCGAGTTT